TAGATAGATAGATAGACAGATAGATAGGGATAGACAGATAGATAGATAGATAGATAGATAGATAGATAGATAGATAAAGGGTTAGACAGACAAATAGATAGATATAGATAGACAGATAGATAAAGGGATAGACAGACAAATAGATAGATAGATGGATAGATAGACAGACAGATAGGGATAGACAGACAGATAGAAAGATGGATAGAGAGGGACAGACAGACAGACAGATAGATAGATAGATAGATAGATAGATAGATAGATAGACAGACATACAGACAGACAGATAGATAGATAGATAGACAGACAGACAGACAGATATTGGTCAACCTGAGAAGCGCCTCTGCTCCAGAAACTCTCTCATGAACTGGGATTCAGCGAAGAGGATGTCGTGCAGTTTTTCCACACTGAACATATACACTTCATTAATGTACAATTTCCCATTCAGATCTTCCTGGAAGGCCTGCACTTCCCCCGCTGACAAAACACACACGCACAGAAACAGTCAGACTAAAGTTGTGGAACAGTAAATTAGAAATGGATTTTGCATACACACACCCTCATCGTGTGTTTCTGAGGAGTCGCTCAGTTCAGTGGGGAGGTCCTCGTTGTCATTGAAATCTAGGGAGGGGGATGGGGCGGGAACATGGGCAGAGCCACTGGTCTCTGACAGCATGTTGTCAGGTAAAGGCAGGGGCAGGAGGTCTTCTGGGACGCAGCCAGTAAAGTCCTCCACTGGGGGCACATCAAACTACAAGGATAAAAAGAATGATTATGAACATTTTGAATTAATAGAATATCAATTTGCAGTGCTAACATTATGCTGGCCATCCTAACCATTTCTGTCATGTATAAATTACCATTAATAAACAATTCTGCAGGTGTATTCCCACTGTAACACAGTTACTGTATGTGTTTTATGAAGGTGACCCAGTTCTTACATTGACCGGAGCGTCTGTGCTGTCTGTGGAATTGAGACTGCTATTGAGGAAAACCTTCCTGTGGAGCTGAGGGCTGATGTCCATTTTGGCGTCTTGGGTTTTGGGACAGTTGTCAGTGGCCTCGTTGTCTTCAGCGGGAATCTCCTCACAGTACCTGCACCAGGGAGAGGGGCAACAGCTGCAGGTCAAGATTACCAGCTCGGGCAGCAAAATAGACCCTCTACCACAGATAGCAAGAAGACGGATTGATAGACAGTGGGAGAAAAGGAGAAGTGAAGACGTCTACAGCAAATCAATGATAATTTGCCATCTGAATACTGGATGTACAGCTGTAGTCTTACTGTTGTATTTCTGATTGGGCAGTGTTCAGTGTCACACGGTCCTTCAGAAATCAAATTCTAATATGCTGATTTGGTGACCCAGAAATGTTTCTAATTAATATCAATGTTAAAAATAGTGCTGCTTATTGTTTTTGAGGAAACTGTGACACTTTTTTCAGGATTCTTTGATAAATAGAAAGGAAAAAACAGCATTTATTTGAAGTAGAAATCTTTTCTAACATTATAAATATTTTTACTGCCACTTTTAATTAATTAGGGGTGTAACGATACCCTCATGTCACGATTCGATACATATCACGATACTGAACTCACGATACAATATTATTGCTATAATCCAAGACATATGGTAAAAGGTTAACAAAAAATGTACTGTAGATTAAAATGCTAAATTTGATTAATGAATAGGCTTGGATTTGATGAAACAGGACAATGGAAACTCCAGAATAAAAATATTCATATATTATACATTATATTCAACATATATATATATATATATATATATATATATGTTTATATATTAGTTTAATGTAGTACTGACACTAAAACTCTGAAAACTTGAATTTTTATTTTGGGTGAATTATTCACAATACAGATTGTCACCATCACCGGTACATATTGTTGCAGTTTTGTATTGCGATAATTTGTGACACCCCTATTAATAATGGATCTTTGCTGAATAAAAGTACTTTTTTCAAAAGCAAAACTGGTTTGGATTGGCTGTATCTAAATGGGACCATATCCGTGTATCTGAATGGGTGTATTTTGTGCTAAAATAGCTTCTTGAGTTCAGACCTAAAAAAAGACTAAATCTGTAGATCTGAGTGTACTAGAAGCTGGGAAAGGGACACAAAACCACTATAGTTGTGACTACACAAAATACCCCCAATACCAGATATTCCTAAACTTGCAAATGAAAATCTGTTTCCTGGACCTCTTCTAACAAAGCTTTGAGAGAGGGTGTAGATTTGTAAATTATGAATCACCTAAATGATTCAACATTCAGGATGGGGGAAGACTCACCCCATGGTGTTGAAGTCGTCATCAGGAGGTACATAATCTTCATCGTCACTGGTCAGACCCAGTTCATTCCCATAACACTGATGGACAAAATGCCACAGCTCTTTGGGACACAATGGCTAGATAAATATGAGAGACATAGAGACTTTGTGGGCTAACATGACCACCAAACATTTGTTTTTAAAGGATCATTGGGAACAATGACATATCTTGTCGAACCTTTTCAAGTAGAGCATTCTGCCAGAGTCTGAACATCATCATGTACGTCCGATCTCTTGCCCCGAATGAGGTAAAAAAGTGCTAAAGGAGAATATGCAAATGTTTAGTATGTACGACAGAGTTTGGCACACTGGTGTTATGCACAAAGTCAAAGACCTCTGTTTACCTTTTCATTGTCTGTGCACAGCTGGATGGCGTTGGGGATGAGTCTAGCCGTTTTCTCCTTCGTCATGGAACAAACATCTTTCAACTTCACGGTCAGCTACACACACACAGACATAGAGAGATGACAACACAAGCTCAACAAACCTGCTGAAGCAACACAGTACATTCACTGGATATCATTTTTTTCAGAGCGAAAAAGAGAGGCAGAAATGTCAATTCCGTGCAGAATACGCCGTTTCTCCTCACAGCTGTGCAAGAAAATGGCACGAGAGACTGATGCACTCAGAGACGAGAGTAATATTTCAACTCACCAGCGTTTCCCAGCGGAATATGTTGCTATAGAAACAGATCCAGTTTTCAGAGAGGTAGAGGCGGCCCTGCAGGAGGATATCTCTCTGCAGGGCACAGGAGTAGTCTGTCAGGATGAGGTGAGAGGTCAGAGTTCAAAGGTCCATGTTAAGATGCATCCTCCACTTTCATACATGAAACCTTTCCATGTTTTATACATATTGTTTACAACCCTAAACACTAAAAATATCACAGGCAATCACTAGTTTGAAAAAAAGAATGGTAGGTCTCAACATATATGGGCTAACCAAATCAACAACAACAAATCAATGCAGTAATTTCAGGTTGTATGATAAACTATAACATGTATGCTACTAGACGGATTATTATATTGTAGCTGCCTTCAGTATGTAAAGATCAAACATAAGACTCACCCACAATGAGGCGCTCCGTGTCGGGCAGCTGCTTGAAGAGCTTCCTGAAGTCTTCATTTCGCTGCTTGTACGTGGGGCTCAAAACCTGAGTGACAAGAGGAGAGAGAGAATGAGACCAGCTATGTACAGTACAGACAAACACACATACAACCACAAACATCCACACAGAGACAGTTAAAACACTCAGCATTCTTAAGAAGGAACAAAGACCTCATACATTGTTTTTTTTGGAGACAAACTGTAAAAGGGTCATTCTACAAAACGGGTGCCATTTGTATCCCCATATATACATACACATTTATTTGTCTTACCTACAATAACCAAAAAACAAAATCAGTAAGTATATTTATGGGGGTTTTTTTTCATTTACTTTAATCGTGAAGATTTTTTGGCCTGTTCCCACCCCCGTAAATGCAATAAAACCTAGAATTTTCTCTTCATTCTCTTTCTATATATTTGATTATTTTTTAGAAAGAAAGAATTAAAATAATTATATTATAAAGGCTTTTTGTGTCCCCAGCATATTTTCTCTTTTAACAGCAGCTCAATACATAAAAAAAACAACCTTTTTTATAACAATGTATACCTGGTCACCATGATTTTGTATAGTAGACACGTGAAAAATGGAAAGAAATATCAGCATTAAATTCTCAAATGGATTTGTAAAGCTGTAACCCTGTTTCCATTAACACTTTCTGTGGGAATGAATATATAGGAAATTTTTATTTTAGTTTTGCATAATGCAGTTTATTAACCCTAAAACACATTATCTGTCGGATTAAATGTTTAATATTCATATTATTATATACATTTTTTCCAATACTCTGTCAGCTGAACAATCTACATCAAGGTACACAACTAAATGTATGAAAAACTACTACAGTCCCTCAAATCATTGCATTCACAGCAAAATGCATGGCCTCTATCCTAAGCAGGTCCGCAAGCGCACAGTAGTAAAACTCTGTAGTCGTGTCTCTCCACTGAAACATAATGAGATGCTCATTTGCTAACATCAACAAAGCCAAACTAAAAAGGGAGACAACTCCCTTCTCATCTGCTCTCTGATTGGTTGCTTACAGCAGGAACACTCTCTGAATCCCAGTCCATCCAATCACACGGGGGCACTTCAGGCTGTTGGACTGCCTCCCAGTCGTAGAGCCAATCAGACTCTGCATCAAAGCTGAGGACTTCCATCGCTCTTGTCCGTTTGAGGAGACGTTCCCACTTATTGGCTCAGCTCCTGATGGTGGTGCAATGCTTCACGATATGCAGTTGAGCTCACTACCAGCTTCAGCAGGCCATGCTCTGAAATGACCTGGAGTTACCTCTGCACCCGTCCTTTGGCATTACCGGGTTTGTTTTTTAAGTAGTGCAGCCTGGGTCTCAGCACCTAAACACCAGCCAAACAATCCTCCACATACAGCAGGAGAACTCCTCACATTGATAAGAGAGACGTATCAGTCTTGACCATGAAAACGGAGCACGGTTTCCTCAGGAAATGAGTCAAACTTTTAACAAGACACAGAGGACTGTTAGTGGTCTGCTTCGAAAGGCTGTGGCAAAACAATCTTTTTGTTTGAGGGTTTATGCCTGCTGATCCACCAAATTTACAAAATACAAGAAACAGTTCCAGATCCAGCCAGAAACTCTGAGGTACGTTGCCACTTTACAATATTTTAGATTCAAAGTGTTCATGAAGGTTTTCAGTTACGGCTATCTGATGAAAATATATATTTAGGATATTGCATATCCTAAATGTTTGCCAAGAAAAATAAAATCGTCCAAGAACAATCCCGAGGCATGTGTTTGAGGAAATCCAAGAAAAAAAACATCCACCTGTTAAAAAAAAATGCAGGGTTTTTCTTCAGATAAAAAAAAAAAAATCTTTCAAAATTATTTCTTTAGCATGGATTAAAATAGTCAAAATACAAGCATTAATATCCTTGCAAGTCAAGATGAATTCATCTGCGGCTCGTCCCTTTGAGTATATCTTCCTGGAGGATGCAAAATGTGTCTCATAAATTGTAATCTCACAGAGAGACTCTCTTGAGCAGAAGCAGCCCTTTATTACAACAGGAAAGAGTTCTCACTAAGACTTTCTACAAAACATTTCTGCCAAGAGGAGTGGGAGGGGCCTGAGAGAATGTTTGTGTGTGAGAAAGAGGGAGGAGGAGGAGCTAGGGAAGCCAGCTGGCCAATAGAATGCAAAGAAGAAGAGGGAGGAGGGGCTGTGCCAGATGTAGTGAGCTCTTTGCTTCAGGCAGTACATTTTTCTCACTCATGATCGAAGAGCTGGGAGATTTATATGCTTTTCCTAGGACTTTCATTACACCCCCACCCCAGGTCAAACTTCAATGATTCAATGTCTCTCCGGAAATGTTACAAAAAAAACCTGAAGGGTTCGGTGCCTGAACAAGACACTTCAGCTTCCACAAATTTTTTTTTTTTTTGCGAAACCCCCCAAAATAGCAAAAGTAGCAGTTTTTTTTTATTTCATGAAGTGGGAGAAAGAGATCAAAAAGTTGGAGAAAGTATAGGATAGAGAGATAAAAAGTGTTTGAGAGAATCACAGACGCCCCCATTGTGCACAAGACATTTTATGGTGTTAGTGTTGAGGCACGGCCAAGGACAACGCCTCAGTCTTCCTTCTCTCCTTCGTTCTTGCACTCTCACGGGGTGAACGAACTCTAGTTAACTTCCTGGGCTGGAGGAAGGGGGGATGTTGAGAGGATGCCAAATGGGTGAATCATCTCTCTCTCTCTCTGGCCTCTACTCCAAACCCCTCTCAAGCAAAACATCTGAGGCCACTGTTGAGCCAGACACATTGTTCAGCTCAGGAGCAAGACGCTCGGTAGAACCATCTCTTCTTTGGAAGTCCTAAGGAAGTCTCTTTTTTGTACAATAAAACATGTAAGCACTACATGTCTGGTTGCCCAATGTTGCCCAATCTAGGTCCTATTGGTAAATATGAAGAAAAAAAATGTTTAACTAAAATATACTTAACATTTAAAATATTTACAAAAATATAACCATTAATTGAAGTAGAATTATAGAAGAAAATGGGTAGCACTTTATTTTACAGTCCTATTCCCCACGTACATACTATGCACTTATTATAGTAATTGAGTAATAACTAGGTACTTATCCTGAACCTTTCCCTAAATATTAACCCATGTAGTTACCTTATATTACCCAGTACTTTCTTAGGTAAGTACACTGTAAGTGCACGTACCGTAAAATAAAGTGAAAACAGAAAATGCATGAGAAATAAATGACAAATATGTTTTAATTTCCCTACATTTGCCATGATTAATGGCACCACTACAAATTAAAACAGAATAACACTATATTCCCATTCATACTGTACTTTAGGCTATCTCAGAATTTCTCAGAACTTTTTTACTTCTCTAGCTCAACATCTTGTGGCGTTTTTTCCTTGCTACACTTACTCTTCACTTGTTCTGGTTTACAGCTTAAGACATTAATGCGTGATTTTCTATAAAGCTTCTTTGAAACAACATGGCTTGTAAATGCGCTTAACAAATAAAAATGACTGTAACCGTAACAGGGAGCGTGATTATTTACAGTCCTGTGGACAAAAAGCTTCTCCTTGACTGTCTGTATTTAGCATGTTTACAGCTGCCATCTTACAACTGAGCACATTTATCCAACAGCTTGCGGTTATCTGCCCACCCGAGAAAAACAAAAATGAGCAAAGTATACAATTTCCTGATAAGCTCACACTTGGAGAGAGTCCCAGCATCATTGTTTCCTGCTGGTCTTTATAAACACTGACTGTTATCTCCACACAGATGCTGGTGTCCACACATTGGTTTTCCTCTGTTTATGGAGTCATGCAGAAGCATCATGCCCATTCAGACTTCCCCCGCAGATTCCTGTTTGGTAAACCCGCACCCACACTACTTAACAGAACACCCGACCCGTTATCCGACAGCAACACTAATGGAATTCCATCCCCGACCCGTTTGACAGAGACCGTGACCCAAACTGCACCCACATTAAAATGCAGTCGTCTCTCCTGAAACTCTGCAGTTTATACGTGGTGGTTGGTCCTCCTAGCAGCATAAACAAATAAAAAAATTATTCAAATTCTGAATAGACTACATACAGAAAGCGAGCAAAGGGCCATCCCTATATAATCACTGAAGCTGTCAAGTACTTAAATTCAGCACGACTGGCAATAATGCGCAACGCTACAAACCGCGTTGTAAATATAAAGCTTTGAGAGTCTTCAGAGTGTGAACATAAATATGCATATTGGGAACTTTTCGAAGCAGCTGCCTATCAGTGTGAATTGATTTGAAACAAACTTGGATAATGGACTCACGGCCCAAAATGACAACGTAAATGTTATTCCACCCATTACATCATATTAATGGTTCACCCATCGGGTACCCGCCCAAGTGCAGGACTCTGTACCTCCCTCAGATTTTTTTGTGAATTTTAAACGCAGCCTCCAAAAAAAAAAAAATCTATATTTAAAGGTGCCTTGTGTAAAAAAATCAATTCAAAATCCACATATTCCATACCAGATGGGGGCAGTATACCTCCAGAAAGTTGGCCTACTCTTGTCTGTTTTTTAGTTTCGGGTTGTTAATCTTCTAAAACCGTCAAATCGTCCGCTTTGTCCCGCCAAAGCCTATTTTGATCGGTGAGTGATGTAGAATAGAATGACTGCTGCGCTTGACAGGGCGCTCATAACGAGCAGAGAGAGAGAGAGAGCGCCCCGGCCGCGCGCGCGCACTCTCACGTCTTCAAACAACACGAGCGCAGTCCTCCTGCTCTCTCTCTCCCTCGCGCATATTAATCAAATCAATTGACACGATCGTAAGACCGCAGTTCATTTGGAGATTTTTAGAGATTAGAGACTCAATGAACAACATCTCAACACTAAATTATAATGGCCGGTCTCATATAGACGCGATTGACATCAGGTTCAAGTACGCCCACAAGCCGTGCGAGTTATTCGTGTATTGGAGTTTGGCTGGTGGTTATGTATGTTGCCCGCATACCGCCTCCCATGGCCGAAACTGGTATTATGACACCGGCCGGGCCGGGGCTAGTAATTTAGCATGCTAATTCAGGTTTATATCTCGGCAGCACTATAACTTGTCATTTTTTTAATGACATCATTGCATTTATTTCTTCTCATTCTTTTGATACGTGTAGCTCATTTGTTGGATATTTTTACCTCAATTTTTACATATGGCACCTTTAAAAACTATTCTGGTAAAAAGTGTTGAAAGATATCTATTTGCATGTCAAAATTTGATCAATTCAATTGAGTGCAGATCATTTGCTTTAAACTGAAAATGCATTGTTGTATGACTATCTATTCCAAGGAATGAATGAATGAGGCTTTTATATGAAAGATGTAATGAAAGTGAGTGACATATTATGAAGGCAAAGTATGTTATAACCCATACTTGGAATTTGTCCTATGCATTTAACCAATCTAAGTTAGTGCACACACACTGGGAGGAGTGAGTAGTGAACACACACACACACTGCAAACCATGGACACACACACCCAGACTAGGGGTGGGCGATATGGCAAAAATATCATATCACGATTTTTTTCAGGAAAATCACGATTAACGATTTTATCACGATTCTTTTTCATGTTGGTTTTACTATTTTGCAAGTGACTGAGAATTACAGCCAAACTAATGTCCCTATTTAAAAAAAAAAAAGCCTTATAGGTAACAAAAGAAAAAAGAATGGCAGACATTTAGGCCAAAGTGGCGAAGATAAAAATCTTTATCATTATTTTCTTTGTTATTAAGAATTAGGAACAAAGATACACATTAAGCATACACAACTTAATATACAAATGAAATAAACAGTGCTTTATTTTTTCAGCTACAGTAAGGGGTATTTAACAGTAGCATTGAAGAAAGTAATTAGGCTAAATTAACAAATACGAAAATAAAACACAACATAGACTTCACTGTATAAATTATACATTTATTATTATTAAAGCTACTACTAAAGTTCTCAGTCAAGAGCAGTGAGTGATTTCCTCTTTGTGTTTTGTTGTTTTATTAACATTAAAGGGATAGTTCTCCCAAACATTGTAATTGTCATCATTTACTCTCTCAAGTTGTTTTAAACCCGAATAAGTTTCTTTCTTCTGTTGAAAATAAAAGTTATTTGGAAGAATGTGGCTAACCAAACAGTTGCTGTACTCCAGTGACTTCCATATGTTTTCCTACTATGGAAGTCAATGGGGACCAGCAACTGTTTGGTTAGCCACATTCTTCCAAATAACTTTTATTTTCAACAGAAGAAAGAAATTAATACAGGTTTGGAACAACATTAGAGTGAGTAAATAATGACAGAATTTTTATTTTTGGGTGAACTATCTCTTTAAGGACAAGAGGCAGCTTGTTTACTAACTGGCTACTTTCGCTTTAAGAGCTGCACGCGATTCGTCTAATACACGCATTTGACAAGCAGATTTTCTCTCATTTTTTTTCTGTTTGCTTTCACTTTAGACATAACCAACTTTGTTTATGTAAACCTTGTGTGTATTTGACAATATTAGCGCAATAAGACTCGAAAGATAACTTATAACGTAGTCCAGTAAACAGACGCTGTTAGACAGGCTTTTAGTGCCCGTGTGCTTCGGGTGTATGCGCTCAGAAAGCACACGTCAGAACAGCGCATCAGCACGTGAATTACATGTTTAACCAGCAAGGCTTTAAAGCACATGCAAATAATGAACTTCTGTGAACTGCAGTGTCCCGTTCCTCTGCGTTAACATTTGTTGTATGTTGAGACGGAGCTCGGCGCCAGAACTGCAACTGATAAAATGCACGATACTACGATATTTCTTCAAAAGCAGATCGTGGAGACATTTTAATCGTCCACGATCAAAAACCGTGATATCGCACACCCCTAACCCAGACTCATTTTGCTGTGGCACCCTTACTCAACACCTCACCTCAGTCATTTCCTGCTGGTATTGAGAACTGAACCCGCAACCTTCGGGTTACCAGTCTGACTCTCTAACCATTAGGCCACAACTGCCCCATTTAGCGCTTTACTATGTACTACTGTAAACCCAAAGTGCTTTACAATCATATCAGGAGGTCTCTCCTCAACATCCACCTGCATGATGCGACGGAAGCCACAGTGCGCTCAACACACACCAGCCATAGAAGAGAGAGAGTCATAGAGCCAGTTTAATGGATGGGGATTATTAGGAGCCATGATTGATAAGGGCCAATGGAGGGAATTTGTCCAGGACACCGTGGTTACACCCCTACTCTTAAAGAGATGTGCCATGGGATTTATAAAATGTATAAACCTCGGTTTAACGTCTCATCCAGAGGATGGTGCTTGTTACAGTATAGTGTCACCATGACTAAACTGGGGCATTAGGACTAGAGTTACTCCAGTTACAGACTTCTTCGTGCTGTTATTATTAGATAATTATATTTTCCTGGAGCCCACAAGTAATTTCTTCCACCTGCTTCCCGCACAATTATCAGTTACTTCCCTCCCGCATTCACACTTGTCCCACGGCGTACTCTTTTGCGTCGGGTCCCGTGGGATTGCAGACCTCTAATTAGGACCCACACAGACCACAGGGTGAGCCTCACTAAAACTTCTTCCAGCAGAAACCTAGTGTTTTCAGGAGGTCTTCCATCCAGGTACTGACCAGGCTCAACCCAGCTTAGCTTCAGTGGGCCACCAGTCCCGGGCTACAGGGTGATATGGCTGTGGTTATGGCAGTGGAGCAATGATAAAAACATATAATCAGGATTTGCACATTAAATTGCTAAATTTCTCCCGGTAAAAAACGGTGCATTTTATATACCGGTAAACATAATTATGCTTTAAAAGTGATGCTGGGGGGAAACCCCACAAATGAGATCTTTTCATCTCAATTGCTAGCCTGGATGCCAGCCCGAACCCCGCCCACAACATTATTTGGTCGGGAAGTTCGGTCTGGACTCGCTCCATTGAGGAGTAATTATGATCGGTTCAGAAATCATCGGGCCAATCAAATTGCCAGGGCGGGCTTTATACGATGATGGACAGATGATCTGCAGTTACGTAATCATCGCGTTATCAAAGAGCGCTTGGGTTGAACTGGTTTCCCTCACAGATGACTGCCGCTAGAGAACTGAGATGTAGAGATTCCGCTATCACGTCTGTTGTAAAAGAAATCGACAGCGCATTCATTTTAAAAGACGAACATAGAACTGCAATCAAGGCATTTGTCGATCGGAAAGATGTGTTTGCCGTCCTTCCAATGGGATTCGGCAAAAGTTTAATTTATCAGCTGGCTCCGATGGTAACTAAGAAGATGGGACGCAATGAAAACCCTGTGGTCGTTGTAGTTTCTCCTTTGGTCGCACTCATAGAGGGCCAAGTAAAAGAAGCAACACTCGTTATTTTACTTCGTCCAGCGTGCGTGCATTTGAGTTCTGTAGTTGACAACTGTGCTATGCAAAGTATTTGACTTACTGCGTTGCTCTGATTGGTTGTAGGTCTATCCAATTGAGTGCAGAGTTTTTTTTTTTTCCTGGTTTGGTTAAGACACGCCTCATAATCAAAGCCCTATGAAGCAGTATCAGACTCACATTCTGACTAGAATATGAGTATGATGAAGTCAGGCTACTCAATTGCTGCTCAGTGAGAAACAATTTAGACAATATGGGAACTTTTCCTAAATCTCTGAATTCTTAGATATTTCTCCTAAGGAAACAGAATCCAGCAATCTCACATGAGTCTCAGAAGAGATCTCAAAACTAAATCAAAAGTCTGAGATTTCAATGTGAACCAAATGATCTGTGCTATACTATATGTTTTAGATGTAGTATGTTTGAGCAGTAACAGTGGCACCGCCTGATCCATGACAGAAACGGAAACACTGTTTATTTGAGAGAAAGAACACTGCGCTCTTTGTTCGGACCTTCTGCAGAACACTTTCATCAGAGTGGCCCAGAGGTTATGACCGACAATAACACATTGACAAAACATCACAAAAGGCACTTGTAAAATGATGAAAAATGTCATTAAGTACTAGCTGACCTGAAAAAAAAAATGGATTCTTTCCCACAGGAAAACAAATGTCAGGCCAAACATTCAGCCTTACAGAAGAAAAAGGTAATCATTTCCTACATGCAATGTCTGTGAAGGCAGTTTAACTCTGGCAAGCGACACCCTCAGAGATTCACATGACATAGCATGTAGATGAGCAATACACAAATTATTTAAATAATGAAAAACAGAATCCAGTTCCTAAAGAACCCCAACCTGCCAATATTTGACACAATATTGTATAAACATATAACAAAAGTAATGAAGAGTAAAAAAAAAAAAAAAAACTTACGTTATACCAGCTTTGACTTTTCTGTGAGTTTGAAGAATCCGATTTTGATGGTAGAAGAAACAAAAGAAGAAGAGATAAACAGAGTGAGTTTCTAAGGGTTCTGAGTGATTCAAATATACACAAACACTTATATTTGGCGATGTACAAATCACACACACAAAACACACATTTTATGGGGACATTCCATAGACATCATTATTTTTATATTGTACATAAACTGTATATTCTATCTCCTAACCCATCACATTACAGAAAACTTTCTGCATTTTTGCATTTTCAAAAGGCATTATTTAATATGATTTATACGCTGTTTTCCTCATGAGTACCAAAAAATGTCCATTTTAGGACTTTTTGTCACGTAAGAGGATACACATGAACCTTCAACAACAGAAAATGCATACATTTCTATCTATCTATCTATCTATCTATCTATCTATCTATCTATCTATCTATCTATCTATCTATCTATCTATCTCGATCCATCGATCGATTTATCCATCCATCCATCCATCCATCCATCCATGAATGTTAGATCAGCACAGGTATAAGTATATCATAAAACAAGGGATTATGGGAAGGCTCTGTTTGTGTATAGGATATTTCATCTGTGCTTGTATCATAGCACATTCGCAAAACACAAAGCTACCACAAGGGGGCAGTCTTTACACTAAATTAATCTCTTGTTGTTATACATTGCCAAACGTGTAATGCATTTTATGGAGGACAGGACAGATCTATAAAACAACACACAAAATAACACAACTATCCTAAAAATGTCTTAACAGTGATTGTGATACAAGTTTATGGTTCATATACACAAATATAAAGACCTAAAAGAATGGAGAAAGAAGTGTAATGCGAGCATTGGACACACACACACACACACACACACACTGGGACTCTAAAGTACTCTACTGTGGTTTCTTCTCAAAGGATGGGTCTGAGCTCAAGGGCACAAATACTGATTTCTTACTTTAATCAGGTTTAGTCTGTCATACTGGAGAGAAAGTTCATCAAGAGAGGTCAGGTGTGAAATGTTTTACTTATAAATATGTATTCATCCCTCTATATCTGTCTTTAGAAAATAAATTGACTGACACAAGTAACGTGTTTCTACTATGGCATACTGAAAACTTCTGCTCTTGTGATGCTGCATCGGCACCATTTGGTGTCAAATAGAATCTTTTTAATAATCCCCACACAGCAATCCCAGTAAATTACCATAAAATTACCAGAATGACTTTACCGGTAAACTCTATGATGTAAATTATTGGAAATTACCTTTAAAGACGTCTGTTTTCTTCATCTACCTGGACGAGAAGCGTTTTAGTTTCACTATCTGTCCAATTTGACTAAATTTGAGTGACATGCGTAAGGTTCGCACAGAATGCAATTTTGCTCCAAAAAACACGAGACACATAATAATTACTGTAGTATTGCAGTTACTATAATACGCATACGCAATAACTGCAGAGCCGCGGTGCTGATTAATGGAAAAGAAGGCAGGGGCTCATTCACTATTGCCTATTTTAGACCACTAATATAGTTCACTTGAATAAAAACGAGTGAGCGAATTTGAGTCCGCTGCATTATTAGTTAGTTTGTGCTTGCTGTTTAATTATTATTTGATACTTTACAAACTGGCAGCTTCAGTAGTGTTAAAAAGATGTATATTAAACTCTGTCATGGAAACTAATAGCATGTATAAACATTAACTCAACAATTTAATAATTGATTAAAACGGAATTTATACCTGTATGATATTATGCTGTAGCCACATTGAACCAGCGGTTTGGAAAATGGATGGATGTATGATTAAGCTTCGGGCGCCATCTTCTGGTGAGGCATGGGAATTCATTCGACACGAGACTCTCACAGTGCATTATGGGTATTCCCTTGAGTGCACTCGATAACATCCACTATGGTTTCGGACCCCACTACAAATGGCTGTCCCTTCAAATAATGCCCTATTTAAGGGTTTAATGGGTGATTTTGGACACAGCAAGGTTCTCGTTCATGAGACGTGGCGCAGGTCAGACGTCCATCTAGCCTAGCACGTTTACAGAGAAAAACTATTAAAAGCAGTGGAACTTACCATAAACGGATCCGACAGAGCATTATGATTGGCTAAAAGCAAAACCTGTTCTAAACGTGTTCTAACCTCGCATGTGCTCATACCCGTAATCCTGTTCTTTGTTTACACACAGAATCATAACGGTAATTTACTGGTAATGTTACAACTTCTCATACCGGGAACTTGTCAGAACTTACAGGTACTTTTGGAAAGGTCGCGTTCACACATGATCTCTTAATAGTAATTTACCAGTAAAGACTGTATGTGTGAAAGGGGCTAGTCTGTATCAGAAAGTTCAAAACATTTAACTTGGCATTACTAGCTAGTCTTGCACAGTGTTTGCTTAGCATTTACTAGGTTAGCGCAGACAGGTGATGCAAAGCATTATGGGATGGGTCACATGCAGGGTGGAGGTACGGTAGAGCAGAAAAGAGTGATGCTTACTTTAGACAGTCTCTTGTGGGACTAGCATGCATGAGAGAAAGAACAGATATCAGAAAACAAACAAAAACAAAAAGAAAACTATGAATTATGTGCAGACAAATAAAAACACCATTGGGCGGCAAAGCTTCCCCACGTACAGTATCAAAGCAGAAGAGATGTTCTGTAAATCATTCTGGTACATGAGGTGCTGATGGTCATGAAATGATAATGCAACGACTTGACTGACTTCAGATTAGACTTAGATGTGCTTCACTAGATGATGTACTGTTTTTATGAAGCATGTTCTTCTCGAAGAAAGGGAGAGCTTAATCTTTTACCTTCCAAATGCAATCCTTCAACATATGCAATGATAGGAAAAAGAAAGCAAGAGCTCTACAGTATTTCAAAAACTAGTGAGCTGCCTCTCACACACACACACATAGTCTAGGTCCTGGGTAAGATTTGTATGCACTTCATTTAGCGGAGAATATCTCAACTGTTATAGACTAATATGACCCCATTGAACAACGTGGGATGTGTGCCAAAATCTCTACCCGGGACGAAAGTCCTGAAAATGACCACAACAGGGGACACTATTATCACACTACAGGTGAATAGGACTTTTTCTTCCCTTTATAGATATTCTCATACATTTCTACCAGATTAATCTTCATATTAAGAGAAATACTTTTTGTATTACACTTTGTCTTAAAAATAAAATAAAATATGCAAATTAGGCAATATCTGTAAATATGCGTACATATAGCCTAAACTCTTGAAGCTACAGATCTTCTGAGGTGATCACTATGTTCACAATGACCATGTAGTGTAAGTGTAAGAAGGGGGGGGGGGGGGGGGGGGGTTTGTATACAAACACTGGAGGGGGGGGGTATACAATTGTATACAAACACTGGAGGGGGGGGGTATACAATTGTATACAAACACTGGAGGGGGGGGGTATACAATTGTATACAAACACTGGAGGGGGGGGGTATACAATTGTATACAAACACTGGGGGGGGGGGGTATACAATTGTACTCACTGTGTGTGTATGATGACTTTTTGTGTGTGTATGATGACTAAACTGTTCCCTGGATAGGCAACTCACTAGGTTTTTAAGTAAATTTCCTGGACAACTGTAAACATTGGTATCTTGTAGGGAAATGTAGATTATTTTCTTTACAGGTATAAATCACCTGCAGTACTCAGAGTTGAGTTTACAAGCCTGCACTGAGGAGGAATTTGACCCCACAGTAGCAATAGATGTGCCAGTATATGAAGACGGTGAGAGCAGAAGTACAGTAAGTACAGTCAGTCACACATTTACCTTGGAGTTCTTTCCTCCGGTGCGGGTGTTGTAAAGCGACTGGCTGTAAGTGCGCTGGACGGCTTGATCCGGGGTGGAAGGGGATTTATCGGAAGAATGATCGGAGTTCTTTTCCACCATGTTCTCTCCCTCTGGACTCTGGGGCGTCGGGGAGCGCGAGCGTTTACGCAGGACGGGTGAGCAGGCCGGCGTGCTGCGGTTCGAGTTACTGGCAGTGCTACAGAAACAAGAAAAATATCCAATAAATAACCATAAAACAGATGTTACACTACACAAAAAGAATGCAAATGGTTGTTTGAGCCTTGGCTGGACAGTTAGCGCATGTGGTCACAAACGTGTGGTGCTCATGTGGGAGATGCAGGATTGAGTTTTGTGTAAACCATCAAAAGGCTATACTAAACATACTAAATGTATTAATGAAAATGTACAAATGAAAAAGGTTTTCTGTAAAGGTCAGGGGAATAAATATAGTCATTGGCTCAGAATAATAACAACAGAAAAGTCCCAACCCTAACCACAGAACCACTTTGTGTACACACAAATCCTCCCAGAAGGCCATTCATTGGCCTTTCACCTCTGCCCTGTTAGCTTTCAGGAATGTACATCAGACTGACATCTTACAACTCACAGCAGCGGAGGTCACATCGCTAAAGCGCTGTAGTTCTAGTGGGAATTTCCACATCACTGATAAAATCACACAGAAAAAAACAAGATCGGTCAAAATACAGGAACTGAACATCTGATGATCTTTTTGAAGCACAAAACTGAAACTCCGAAGAAGAAAAAAGGGGCGGAAAAAAGAAGAAACTTTAAGAAAAAAAATATTAAAAATGGAGAGCAAAGCAAATGAAGACCTACTAGTTCATATATTTTTCTCCTGAGACCTTAATATTCTCACAGGAGATTCTCAACACAGGCTTAAAAGGAAGTTCACCCCAAAATGTTGTCATCATTTACTCTCAAGTTGTTCCAAACCTGTATAAGTTTCTCTCTTTTGCTGAACCCAAAAGAAGATATTGAAGAATGTTGGTAATCAAACAGTTGGCGGTAGCCGTTGACTTCCATGGTAGGAAAAAAAAATACTATGGAAGTCAATAGCTATGTCAACCCGTCTTGTTACCAACATTCTTCAAAATATCTTCTTTTGTGTTCAACAGAAGAAGAAACTCATACAGATTTGGAACAACTTGAGGAAAATGATGACAGAATTTTCATTTGTAGGTCTTTGGGTTACTATCCCTTTAAATTTGGCAATCAACTTACAATCAAAAGTCAAATAATTCTCAAATTCTTATGGCACCAAAATATTGTGCATGTTCATTTTGTAGCTGTTCTCTAACTGTGTCAACAAGTCTCATTTTATTTCTAAAATGAGACTAAGCTAAGAAAGAGTTAAATCTTCTGAGAAGAACCATTACAACAACACTCACTAGCTGACCTCAAAGACGGAGAATCTCTCAATCAGACCTTGTTTGCTTACAAAGGTCAAGATGATATAGATAATACAGAAGATGAAAAGCCTTCTTCAATCAGATGGAGAAACTCTTCTCTAGCCATCTATCTTTCTCTCAATCTCTCGATGCAGCAATCCCCCTTCTTCCCCGTGCCAGCCCGTCATCTGTCCCTCAGAAAGGCCACCAGGTTCTATCTTAATTATTAATGTTCTGTACCTGAGCTAAGAGCTGCCCGTCTGGAAAAACAAACACAGTGTGGCAAAAGAGAGAGAGAGAGAGAGAGAGAGAGAGAGAGAGAGAGAGATAGAGATAGAGATAGAGATAGAGATAGAGATAGAGATAGAGATAGAGATAGAGATAGAGATAGAGATAGAGATAGAGATAGAGATAGAGATAGAGAGAGAGAGAGAGAGAGAGAGAGAGAGAGAGAGAGAGAGAGAGCTGATAAAACACCTCACAACCTCTCTGGGTTCATTCAACCTAATGCACTTATGATTTTATCCATCCAGCAACATTCAAGCAGCCGTTCCTTACTAGAACACAAGTCCACGTGTTCTAGAAGGTTCTGACGGCAAATAAATCACTGCAGATAAAACCTTCACAGAAACAGTGGCGTCAAATTACTGGTGCATAGATCTACATCTATCACGCTGTCAAGGATCTGTTAGATCAGCTGCTTAATAATGTTTTCTTGTACATCATCTCATTCAATATACAAAGTGAGAGTGAGCAGCACAATATTCCATATTATTTTGTCTAAATAAATCATTTTAAATGTCACAACTAAATTAAGGCATCACAACACTTAATATTCAACAATATTATTGATCTGATTGCATTGACACCATTATATGAGAACTGAACTGAGCTGGACGATGACATCGCTGTTTTCTCCAGAGCAGCTGTATAGATAAATGCTGTATAAACTAAATCAATAACTTTTTCTTTTTCTTTTTTACAACAAAAATGAACATCGCTGACCTTACTTAGGCTGGACTATGACACTATTTTCTTCTAGGTCTGCTGTACAGCTGAAACAAACTTTGTTGCATTGTTTTCCTGTTGTCACTGCAAAGCTGCTTTGAAACAATCTGTATTGTAGTGCTACATAAATAAAGGTGACTTGACAACATTATAATGAAAAGGCAATCTAAATGTATAAATATAGTAAATATAAAAATAGAGTAGTAAAAAAAATATTAACCATTAACTGGTACAGATACATTTGAAAATTACATAATTAGCCAATAAGGTACCAATATATTGTGCATCCCCCACATACTTCTATACTACAATAATCACTATTTGTGTAGTTCATAGTACAGTACAGTATCCAATAAGCAGTGAGCTAGTATTCCAGTCCAGACATTGTCTCTCATGAGATAGCAACTGACATTAGGGTGCAGCTTTGAGAACACAAGTGCCAAACACACACCTATAAAGTGATAAAAAGTATTTATCAAACACTCAAGAGAAAAAAAGCTTGTATTGTGGATGGATGTAAGGCCCTACACGCCTCATCTGTCATATCTGCGCTTATAAGAGCCGTAATGACAAGCCACACACACATGTGTGAATGCAGTTTTTCACACTTCTGCTTAAAGGCTAAAACCAAAAACTAACATACATGGTATAAACATTTTCTCATGCCACGAGTCGGAAGATATTGCTTTCTCACGCTAGGCTGGTGCCACAGAGAGCAATAGGCAGAGATAAACATCTTTCACACTCATTAAAGGGGTGAAAACACTCCTATGTGATGCAAAAAAATAATAATAATAATCACTCGGTACATGCAGCAAATCCAATGCATTATTCTGATCAAATGTCACAGATGCATATCTCTTCTAAAAAACATACAGTTATCTGCTTGAAATTGGATGAAAGATGGGTTTACTTGCTGGAAAAATCCATGATTCTATTACATACAAGGTGGCAAAAGCACAAACAAAAACCAAAATATTGGAAATTGCAGCTAATGGACATGTCAAGTGTGACAGTCCCATCATGCAAATGACTTCCCTTCATGATGTTCATGCAAAAATCACACATTGACAAACCTGGTGGCCATGAGGGGCTACACGAAAGCGTTCGGCTCTGCTTCATTCATTCAGTGCGGCTGCAGTGTGAGAATGGAGTGATGTGAGGAGAGAGGAAAAAGAGACGAGGCGGAGCTTATCGTCTCAGCATCCATGTTCTTTCATGCAAGCTTCCTCATTTCTTCGCTCTTCTACACGCTTCCTCTTCTGTTCTGTTAGTTCTTCACTATCGTTCTGTCGAGCTGGTGTGAAAAGCGGCTGCTGTGCTGGGGTTTAATATTCATGGGTTTCTTGAATGAAGCCACTCACGTCAGCAGTCTCTGGCTCTCTACCCCTCCCCCTGTCCAATCACATCCCTCCCTCCCCTCTCTCACTCACTCATGCTCGCTCTCAGTTCACTCCTGTGATGCATATGCCATCAAATCCTACCCAGTCAAGTCAACTCACCTTTATTGCTACAGATTGTCTCAAAGCAGCTTTACTTTACGGTAATCACAGATATTTTACAAAAACACTCTGGATAGCTTTTACTTATGTGAATAAGTAATAAGCTTGAACTTGTGTGAATGATACCGCAAATCACGTGTCTTGTTGAAGAGGAAATGCACTGTTATTTTTCTAAACAACCAGACTTATAATTTCTACCTGGTGGATGAAAAAAGAGGCAAAAAAATCACATAGATTTACATTTAAGGAGAGAGCTGAGATTTATGAGTTCTTGTGTGATGCAAAGCTGAATTTTCAGCATCATTACTCCAGTCTTCAGTGTCAAATCATCCTTCAGAAATCATTCTGGTACTCAATTATTATTGGTGCTCAATTTTTAAACAATGATTCGTATATATTATCAATTTTGAATAAATTACGTTTTAAAATATACTCAAATAGAAGACAGTTATTTTAAATTGTAATAATATTTTAGTATTTTTCATTAAATAAATGCAGCCATGGTGAGCATAAAATACTTCTTTATATATATATATATATATATATATTTATTTATTAGTTTACAGAGAGATAGAAATAAGAGCAGTTTAGATAATGTTTAGATAGTCTAATAAGATCAGAGATGTTTGTTTAAATCTGTTCAAAATTGGGGTCTGATAAAACTGGATCAGATCAGAAGTGATCAAATCATGATCTGGTAATAAATATTAGATCAGATCAGGGTTCAATTACTCAAATCATTGTCAGATGAGATCGAAATGAATTCAGATCAGGATCAGATTACCACCAGATTGTCATCACCAGATTTGATCACAGTCCAATCATATGAGTGAGATCAGATAAAGGTCAAATTTGGTTCAGACTCAGATCAGTCGCAAATTAGTCAAGAGTTCGATAAGATCACAATTGAGATTCGAGTGAAATTAGATTAAAAACAAATTCAGAGTTGGACCAGAGATCAGATATGGGTGACATCAGAGTGGAGTCACAATTTAAAAATAATCAGAAAATTCACATTTACAGAAACAGAAAAACAACATATTATTAATTATGTTCAAACTTTAAATCAAATCATGAATCTGTGAATCAAATCAAACTAGTTGCTAGTCTGATTTATACTGAGAGAGAGAGAGAGAGAGAGAGAGAGAGAGAGAGAGAGAGAGAGAGAGAGTATATCTCTGCTTAAAATAGACATGTAATCTGCTCAGGTCAGTGTAATACATGGCAATGTCTGGAACAAACAGCCTATCTTTACTGTCCAGCTATCTGTTAGTGTT